GCGTCGTCTTTGGCAACTTCAAGCTTCATTCGCAGGGCTTCCACCTCGCATCAGAAAATCAGAACAACTCGAGAATCGAGTTCCTCCATCCCCGAACCCTCGGTCACACAACAAAGTGAAACAGAGTGCTTTGGGGGGCAGCACAACATCATGCACAGCAATGCACTCACCGGAATGAGGTCTTGTTGCCTTTCTTTCACTCACCGGAATGTTTCGGGTGCCTCGTCACCAATAAATCCAAGTAGCTCGAGATCAAGCTATATCGAATACAGCATACCTGCCTTTCATGTAGTTGGCGGACTGGGGGATGCCAAAATGTCAAGCATCCTAATCATTGGAGACAGAATAACCGTGGAGGAAGACTTCTCACACTTTTGCAAAACCCAGGTCCACAGAAGCCTGCATACGTCATTTTTGAAAGTGCACAATCATCCGTTCTTTTCAATCATGCAAGAATTGTAGCAGCGCGCAAATAGATAGAAACGGTTTCCAATATATCCCAATATATCATCGAAAGGGGATTCACTTCTGTAACCCATCTATTTTATTGCGTATTCACTCTAACATCTCTCCACCCCATGGGCACCTGCCAATTGCTCGTCTTCTTTTGTGCACCAACCCCCCACGTGAGTGGACCGCCCGAGCCGAAAAAAGGTGCGAAGCACTGAGGCCATGCACTGCGGCGTTCAAGGCCTCCAACTGCTTCAGAGCCTCGGCGGTCGATGTCGAGTCCCACACGTCCGTCCCAACCGCTCCAAACGAAAAAAGGAGCCGCAGTCGAAAACGTCGACAGGTGGCACTCGATTGGTTTTGCCTTGCAACAAGTGGGACCCCACTATATAGAGCAAAAACAAAAAACACGGGGCATGAAAAGAATTAGAAAAACATGCGTCCAAGAACAATAAAACGTCTCAAGCCACCACCGTCCACATCGGCCCCAATCAAACGCCCACCGTCCACGCCGCCTCTTCAGACTCTTGCTCCAGGCGCCGCTCCTGGGCCCAGTGGGAGGTGCCTCTAGTTAGCTTCTTGATACTAGTAGCGTCCTTGCTCCTAGTAGTAAGGCCAGGAGCCCCGATCGTAGCGTTCTTGCTCCGTTCGTAGCGATGCCCTTTGCTCCTAATAGCTTCTTGGATAGAGCGGAAAAAGATTGAAGAGATGAAACGGTGATGAAACCTTCCACTGTCCAAAGGTCAGAGACCTCTTTTCAAGTTTTTACAGCTGTTTCAGTTTCTTTGCTCTCCTCTGGAGTGAAGTCATCCAACTCTTCCTCAGCCTCAGAACCTGTTGGTGTCACGCACAGCATTCCGAAACTAACGCGCAACGCATCATGTGGCTGTGGCCAGTTGCCCACCGCGATGGCCTATGCAGTTCTTATCGGCTGCTGGGCAGGGCTTAACATGCAATCAAAGGGAGTATATGAAGTGAATGGAACCTCTGCGAGCATTTGAATAGAAGACAATACAAGAGACAAGACAAGCCCATTGCAAATCAGGGCCTGACTCACACGTTCCGCAGCTGGGTTGCATCCCAAATCGAACAAAAAAAAAGAAAAGCACTATATAAAACAAAAAGACCCACCGTTTTGTTCGAAGCCCTGAGATCTGTGAGATCTGAAGATCTAAAGTTCAGATCTGAGATCCCTGAGGACATGTCCGAGAGGACCTCCAGCTTTGACGAAACTTGAGAAACCGACACTGGACATGTCCCCAAGCAAGGAACGCCCCACCCAGCTTTGAACAGACTTTGATCGACCTTGCCACCATGGTCCACGAATCATCTGTTTTTCCTATCACCAGGTTGTGTTGGGATCCTGATTCAAAAACGGCCCCCAGATACCCACTCACTCCATGAACCAGCCTCCTCTGGAGCTTCCAGCCTGGCCCAAACGAGGGCTTCACATGCAGACCTTCCATGCAATTTCTACTTCAGTTTACCAAACAAATCACGAGTCCTGTCGAAGAGAGTTGTCACCAAGAAACGACAATCCTAAAAATTGCAAACTCAAAGATAGCGCTGTTCCGATGGTGAACCCCTGGACTTGTGTCACAGGAATCCGGGTCAACAGAAGTGTTGGAAGGGAAAACCCCTCAACGAATTACACAAAAACAACATGCTGACGTGAGACTGATATGCGACGTGCCCATGAGGGTACAACAGCAAACAATGAATTGACCCTGCGAGCGAAGAGTTTGCAGATTGGATTGAGGTCTATCCGATCCGTTCTCGTTCTTGAAAAGACACAATGTCACCACTCTTTAACTCGAACACTGAAAGAGTGGCTTTCAGTGGCTTCTGTGATGACCGAGACAAACACACAAACACCGAATCAACGGTTGGAAGTGCATTCACCTGGTCGGAAGAACTCGTGCAGCAGGTCCTGCCGTTCTTCCCACGTTCCCCGCGTCTGGCTCCCCTGGTCCTTTAGTGCTCACTTCATCCTTCAGTGCTCCAAACCAAGGACTCGCTTCTCTCGGTGTCCCCGCTTCCAGCTTTGGTGGCAAAGGCGGAAGTGGAGGGGCGGGACCTCGAGTTCGAGCTCAGGACGCCCCAGCTTTATATAGTGGCCGTCTCCTCTACTGCCCAAAGGATGCAGCACCAGGAATGGGGCATCAGATGATGTTTCTTGTTCTAAGGGGTGTTAGGGGACTGTTGGGGGATGTTGGAGTGCCAGACAAAAACAGTCAAAGTCAAGTTGCCAAGAAGAATGAAAAAAAACATCATCCACAAGTTCTCTCGCAAAATACCCTTCACCTGAACCGAGGAACCGGAGGAACCGCCAAGGGGACACATGCTGCCAAGGAGCCAAGGCGACTGGCAAAGGCCAGAAGGTGCCTGGCGCGACCGGGTCAGTGAGCTTCCGAACGAAGAAGCGCCCAGATGCGAACGTCTGAGGTTGGACCGGTCTATCCTTTTGAGGGTCCAGACCGACCCTTCATTAGCACCCATTTTCAGAGTAGAAGCCTGGGCTGTTGAATGAGTTTGATCCCTTCAAGATCATCCCTTTCATTAATACTTCACGCAGGGCCATGAAGGGACCAAACACCTGGTGGAAAAAATAAAGGCGCACATGTCTTTCCCCATCCTCTTCCCGGAAGAAACGTGCCGTGGCTCACGGGCCCTGGCTCGGCAAGTCGTCTCTGGCGGCAGCGCCTCCAATGAGCTGATGAGCGATGTCAGGCAACGAACTGAAGAAGGTCAAGAACTCAAGAAGCTGGTGTTGCCACATGTTTCTTCGCGGTGCCCAGGTTGTGGATGTAGTAGTAGACGTGTACATCCACTATGAAAGCCAAAAACGGACTTCGGTGAGATGCTGAAGTCCATAACCTCTGAAAGCGGTCGTGTCCCCGGCTCGCATGCTAAGACTCAGACCGTCACTCTCTGGTGTTTTGCCCACTCGGCCTGGCTGAACCCGAAGCGGCAAGACCCGGCACACATCGAACACCTCGCCAAGGGTCTGGGGTCTTTAGAAGCTCCGGTAGAATCGGCCCTGCATTGTGGAGGCCTCAAAGACTCTGGACCACAGCAACTGAAAATAGCTGAAAGCTAGATTCTTGAAGCTCTTAAAATCCTTCCAAATGGCCAAGTCCGTGTTTGGAGACCAAACAGCAGCCCTTCCTCCCGCTTGAGCCAAGCCCTGGCCTGGACTGGGGAACCTTGGCGACAGGTCGGAGTAGACCGAAGATGTTCTGGCTCAGTCTTAAACTCCAAACTTGGCTTCCTTAAACTTCTTAACTGGAGAAGGAGGGAACCTAGTGACCGTCTTCCATGGAGGAACAGTCGGCCAACCCAGCCACTGGGAGAAACGTCACAGGAGGGTGTTCACAGCCTCACTCGAATGCGAACAAAGCGCTCCATCTTCTTCTCCACCTGCTCTGATCAGATCTTGAGAAGAAAGTAGGTGCATGCTGCATGAGGAAACCACCAGAGAACACGACCAAAGTAGGTGCATGCTTCTCAAAGTAGGTGCACCAAGGTGCCAAGGCCTTCATCCAAAACATCCCTAAAAACAACATGTTTTCCCAAAACGTCAAAAAAAAACACACCAACACCTGAGTTCACTTGGAACATCAGCATGAACACTCCCTGGCTTGTGCTCACACTCTTGGAGCTTGCTGCTCCATCGCACCTTCTCGCTGGCAAAGCGCCCTCGCGTCGAGGCTGTCGCCGGGCGACGGCCCACCGGCGAGGCACTCGCGCGACCCGGAAAGGCCGACATGGGCCTCTTCCGGGGCACCGAGGTGCTTCCTGGCACGGCACCGAGGCAATTCGAGCAGTTCTTTCATCTCACACGAGAAACACGAGGCTTTCTCCTGTGCTGGAGGACCATGTCCACATTGTCCCCTCCCCAAGTCGTGACTCAACAGAAACCAGCTTGGACTATCACCACCCACCTCCCCATCTGCACCTGCTAGGTCCTGCGCTTTGAGCGGCTTGGGCGTCGCCCGGAAGTGCACTTCGGCCGCGGACCGGGGGCGGCTGCCGGCAGCGGCCGCGGCGAAGGCGGACGGGGCATGCGCGGACTGTGGGCGGCGACTCTGGGTGCTCTGCACCAAGAGGTTTCGAGCTTCACGGTGGCGCTGTAAGCGCTCAAGTCTGGAGGCACTGGTCTCAGCCTCCATGGCGTCATCGGATCACAACAGAGCTGAAGTTGTCGCTGGCGCAGGGTGGTGAGGGAATGTGCCTCCCACAGCAAAAGAAGATGTGCCTCCCGCAGCTGAATTGATACTTGTCTTGGGTGAGCTTTCCTAGAAGGTTGGTGAAATGCTTGTGTACTACATGGCTCGTTGGGCATATATTATGTGTACAGTATACACCGCATGCAAAGCTGCAAAGCCAGGATTTACGGCACACCATCGGGAAGTTCTGACCAAAGCCGCAACAATCCTCACTTCTTTTGTCTCAGGGTCTTCAAACGAATGAGTGGTGACTGTTCTGAACACATCCCAAGACAAACAAGCATCGCACACAACTGACCCTTCCAGCTCCCCATCCCTTTTTTGCGCGCTCAGGTCGCCCACTGCACTGCCAAAGCTGGCGCCAGCTCCAGCTGCTCCAGCAGGTGCCAGCAGATCCGGCAGTGGATCCAGCTCCAGGACCTTCGACCGAAGCGCTGGAGAGGCTCCACTGTGAGGCGCGGCCAACAGATGCACTCACTGGAGCAATTATCATGGAAGTGGAAAACCCCCTGTTGGTAAAAGAAAATGGTTATCCAAAGGGCCACTGTCCACATCCATGATCATTCCAGGGAGTATAGCCTCGAGGGACCTATACCGCCATACCGTTCATGTTAAGACACTGGCATCACGTGGAAGAGGGAAAAATGCCACAGAAAGACACTCGCGCTCAGTTTTCTTCCCTGCAGCTTCCAGGTGCCAAAAGAGGATAGATTAATATCCTGCACTATGTAGATGCTGTTGTTATATGGCTACATGTGAAGTTTGTAGCCACCCCTGCCCCTGTGGAAAATCTGGTGCCAGTTTCCCGCTGAAACACCCCACAATGGAAGTTTCACCGGTCCTTTTGTGCAAGGCTCTGCTGTTTACAAAGTTAATCCCACAGTTTGTTCCAAAACCCAAACTGACTCCTCACGGCCCCAGAGGTCTAGCACACTGGAAACCAGGACCACTGGCCTGGCTGAAGACCTCAGCATTGCGCCCCAAGATGGCAAAGACCACCTCCAAGCCGCTCACCTTCGACAGCTCCTCCTCCATTCGATCTCAAGTCAACAAAGAGCGAGAGAGAGAGAGAGAGAGGGAGGGAGAGAAACATCCATCGTTCCATCCACTCGTTTGGGTATTTGAATAGGCCTTTCTTGCCCCTGGCTGGGTAGGTCTATTTCCGAGCGCCCAGAATCGCGTGGAGAAGTTTGAAACAAATCCGTGGAGAGCTTGGTGAAACGCCCTGAAAGAGTTTGTGGCACCAAGATCAGGCACCCATACATCCCAAGATCCATCGGACTTGTTTGCGACCTCCTTCTTTGCTTCTTGAAACAGCTCAGGAGCCTCAGCCAAACCTTTTGTGGGCCTCAGGGATCCACCTGCGGTAGTCGCTCACGCCTTGAAGAGCGTTGCCATCACCACAGGGTCATTGCCAAAAGCACCACATCCCCAAGCACCCAGCACTAGCGAGGAATGCCCATGTCGTAGAGCCATTTGCAAGACTCCTTGAATCTTTCGTCGCGCCAAGGCCTTCTCCTTGTTCCCCATGTCACCACAGTTGGGCATTTCGGATGCCAAGACCGTAACCCAGAAAGGAGTCTTCAGTAAGGGATATCCTTGCTGTGCTGGACCACGAAAAAACGCAAATCTGTGGAGCATAAATTCCACCCTCCGGCAACGGATATTCATGGTGCTCCAGCGAGGGCAACAAACTCGACCGACGGCACATCTCCTCTTCCTGAGTTCCCTGTTGATGACCTTTGAGACCGCCTCCTGGGTTTGAACCACTGGCAAAATCCAAGACCATTGGAACATTTCCACCTCCTTCACTCAAGAACTCTGCTGCTTCCAAGCAGTCGCACTGTGCCAGTCTCAATCGACAGGGACTTGTGAAAGGTCCGCCCTCCACTAGACCGAGTTCGTCGAGGTGAAATTTCATCGACTGGCCAGGTGCAGATCCCAAGCGCCTCTTGTCCAGCTTCACTGTGGTGCCATCCACTTTATAATGCCCAGTCCCAATGATACGCCTGGTCTCGATCATCGTGGCAGCTGGGTCGACATGAGCTCTTGCTTTGGATTTCCAGGGCATGAAGTAAATCCGACCGCTGCACAAGAGTTAAATATCTGATATCTGTTGCCTCTTCGCAACAGTGCCAAGCTGCCCGTCACCCAAAGTCGCCAACCATCACAATCAACCATAACTGCTCTTGCTTAAAAGCCGGGAACAGCTTGTGAGGTGAGGCGCATTACAACAAAGTACACTGCAAGCGCAAAATCTCAGCTTGCATATCTGTGTAAATATGTATGCACGTATGTATGTATGTATGTATGTATGTATGTATGTATGTATGTATGT